TTAGTCCTGCTTTGATGCCTCCTCTTTTCTGCCTCCGTTTTCATGCCCTGTATCAATGATGGAAGTCGCTTTGATCGCTAGCAATATGAGAAATCCATCTATGCATCGATTGCATGCAACAATGATGATGTTTTCATTGCAATGATTAAAGCATGTCTTATAATATGCCTACATTTTATTACCCTTTTCCATTCTCAGTCTCACTTGCTATAGTAATAAACGTTGTTGTGTTATGTCCCCGCTATCCAATAAATGAATCACATACAAATGAGATGCGATTGCTATGAAATCTTAGGCGCTTCGTTTAAAAACATGCAATGATGATACATGACGTCATGATAATATCACGTGCTCCATAATCGAAAACCATCTCTCAACTACTAGCAGATGAACAAAGCCACCATTGCGCCGATTACAGGCAGCCATCATAGCATTTTCGCTTTGATGAAGGAAACATGTATTATGACATGTCCACATTTTACTGCCCTCTCCCAGCCTCAGCATTATGTGTATCACGATGGTGGATGCTCCTCCAGTACCAGCTATATAATGAATGCATCATCCTATGCATAGAAAGTACTATCGAGTTTACCTGATAATCCAAGTCTGATGTCCATCTATCCCCCGATCTGCCGATCATACCCCTAAAGTAATAAAATCATGTATGGAATGGGCTACAGATGTTCATGTCCATGGTTGAATGCTGATTACTTTATCGTCATAGATCCGAGTCATTTACCTTGACAAATAAAAGCGCCATTCCTTTCTTTGTAGTATACCCTTTTCACCCATCATTGTAGCGCCTGCCAAACACTTTCCTTGTTTATCCCTACATCTACAGCCAAAGAACGCGTTTGATGTATGCTGCTTGCTGCTTGTGTAAAGAAAGCTGCAGGTCAAGCCTGTGTCCAATAAATAGCAAGGGTCAAAACAACCAGCAGATGACGAAGCTAATGTCAGCTGCTGCAATTGACATTGGTAACGAATAACGAAGCGATGGCGTACTATGAGCGCTTGTAGTTGTTGAAGTGCATGTGTGATTCCTGATTCCAAGGTTTGTCATCCAAAATGCACGCCAATAAGAGATGATGCATAATAAATCCACACCCATGTAGCCATGTACATGCTGAATGCTGCCATTTGATTGTGGTACCGCTTGTATATCCAATAACAATATGAACGATCCATCCTTTTCCTTATCCTAAAAAGAGCCATGTATAGGCGATGGTGAAAGATGGATGTACAACTACAATGAATCCAAACGCGTGTACTCGATGATGCTGCCATTTGGTTGTGGTGCCTTGAATATCCACTGCCAATCCCTTGGATCCTTCCTTATTGTTATCGTTATCCCAAGGAGAGATGGTGCAAAATGGGTTGGTGTATAATATTTAATAATCCCTACCAGTGTACCAGGTGATGCTGCTGTTGCGGTATATACACTGCCATTTTCTAATACCAATGAGCCATCCTTGTATTTATCCAAAAAAGAGCCATGTGGACGATGTCTCCAAGTGCTGTAGACATGTGTGCATAATAAATGCAATCGTGTGTACCAGGTGATGCTGCCATTTGTATATTCACTGCCAATCCATCGATCCATTCTCTCGCTCTTGCCAACGAATGATATATGAAAGCGATGATGATAGATGTCTCCAAGTGCTCGTTAGATGGCTGGATAAATTAAATCCATACACACGAACATGATGATGACACTGCTTTGTGTATCCAACTCCAAAACCTTTTGATCCTTCCTTGTCGTTATCCCAGTAAGAGATTATGCGAGGTGGGTGTATGATAAATTCAGACGCATGAACTCGGTAATGCTGCTGTTGCTGTATATTCACGTTCCCTGCCAATCCCTTTGATCCATCATTGTTCTTAACCCAAAATGAGCCATGTGGTCATGATGGTGGAATATGCGTGTATAGTATATCCACATGCATGTACATGATGATGCTGCCATTCGTATGTCCTTTGCCAATCCCAATGATCCATCCTTGTCGTTATCTCAATAAGAGACGGGTGCATGATAGATCTATACGCATGAACTCGGTGATGCTGCTGTTGTTGTATTCCCTACCAATCCTTTATCCATCTACGTCGTGAACCCAAAAACAGACATGTACTCGTGATGGCGGAAGCTGGGTGTATGATAAATCCATACCCATGTAGCTGATGATGCTTCCAGTTGTATGTCCCTTGCATTTCGTTTGATCCATCCCCTCGCTCTTGCCAACGACGGATACGTCGATGTAACCATGATAGATATCTCCAAGCGCTATTGAGGTGACCGCACCATAAATCCATGCACGTGTAGCTAACTTTCCTGCCGTTTGTATATCTGCCAATGTCAATGATCCATCTTTGCCCTTATCCCAAAAAGAGTCATGTATATGTGATAGTGGAAATGGGCGTATAATAAACCCATATGCGTATACTCAATGATACCGCCATTTGTAATCAAAATCTATTGGCCCATCCTTTTCGTAATCCCAATCAGAGGCATGTGGTCGCATCATAGTGCTGTTAAAGTGGCGGCTCTAAAATAAATCCATTCGCGTGTGCTCGATCCTCAATCATCCTGCCATTTGATTGCGGTGCCTTGTATATCCACTGATGCTGTATAACAAGGTCTCGACGATATGGTAATAGCAGGCACCAGAGTTGCTTTACAATGCAAAATCATCGTAACTTGCTCAAATTGGATCTATTCGCCTTTCGCCATTCGCAATACACCACGTGTAGCCAGCAATCAATGCAGCCTTTTGCAATGCATCACAGTGTAGCTCGCAATTCAAGCACTTGTTTGACGTATAACAAGGTCACGTTGATATGGCTGTAGCAGGCAACAGTATTACTTTTGAATGAAAAAACGTGATACCTCGCGCAAATTGGATCTACTCGCCATTCGCAATGCAACACATTGTAGCCTACAATCAACGCAATCTTTCGCTGTATAACAAGGTCACGATGATATGGCGGTGGAAGGCAAGAACGTTACTTTTCAATGTAAAACCATCGTACTTCGCTCAAATCAGATCTATTCACCATTACCAATGTACCACGTTGTAACCCCTAATCAACCCAGCATTTTGGCTATCTAACAGGGTCACGTTAATATGGAAGTAGCAGGCAATAACGCTACTCTTCATTGTAAAATCGTCATACTTCATCCAAATCAGATCTATTCGCCATTTGTAATGCATCACATTGTAGCCAGCAATTCAAGCAGTCTTTTGCTGTATAGCAAGGTCTCACTGATATTATAGTGGGAGGCAATAACGTTACTTTTCAATGAAAAAACATCATACCTCGCTCAAATTGGGTCTATTCGCCATTTGCAATGCACCACGTTGTAGCCAGTAATCATTCCAGCGTTTTGGTGTATAACAAGGTCACGATGATACGACAGCGGGAGGCAACAGCGTTACTTTCCAATGCAAAATCATCATACCTCGCTCAAATCAGATCTATACGCCATTCGCAATGCAGTACATTGTGGCCCGCAATTCGAGCAGCTGTTTGCTGAATAACAAGGTGACGTGGATATGGCAGCAGCAGGTAACAACGTTGCTTTACAATGTTAAAATGACATACCTCGCTGAAATTGGATCTATTCGCTATCGCGATGCATCGCATTGTAGCCAGCAATCAACGCGGCCTTTTGCTGTATACCAAGGCCACGATGATATGGCAGAAGCAGGCAATAACGTTGCTTTACAATGCAAAATCATGATACCTCGCTCAAATCAGCTCTATTCGCCATTCGCAATGCACTATCATCGTGGCCAAAAATCAACGCAGCCTTTGGCGTATACCAATGACACGACGATATGGTAACAGCAGGCGCCAGTGTTGCTTTTCAATGCAAAAACATCATACCACACTCAAATCAGATGTATTCGCCATTCGCAATGCACCATCATCGTAACTAGCAATCAACGCAGCTTTCTGCTCTATAACAAGATCACGTTGATATGGCAGTAGTGGGCAATAATGTTACTTTACAATGTAGAATCATCATGCTTCGCTGAATTCGGATCCATTCGCCATTCGCAATGAACCATGTAGTAGCCCGCAATTCAAGCAGCCTTTTGCTGTATAACAAGGTCACTTTCATATAGCAGTAGCAGGCACAAATGTTCCTTTTCGTTGCCAAATCATTCTACTTCGCTCAAATCGGATCTATTCGACATTCGTAATGCACCACACTGTAGCCCCCAATCAACGCAGCTTTCTGCTATATATACCAAGATCATGGTGATAGGGCAGTAGCAGGCAACTATGCTACTTTTCACTGTAAAATCATCTTACTTCGCTCAAATCAGATCTATTTACTATTCGCAATGTACCATATTGTAGCACCGACTCAACGCAGTATTTTGCAGTACAACAAGGACACGGTGGTATGGCAGAAGCAAGCAATAACGTTGCGTTACAATGCAAAATCATCGTACCTTGCTCAAACTGGATCTAATCGCCATTCGCAATGCGCGACGTTGTAAGTCGCAATCGACGCAGGTCTTTTTGCTGTATAAAAATGCCACGATGATATGGCAGTAGCGGGCACCAATGTTGCTTTACAACGTTAAATCATCATACCTCACTCAAAGCAGATCTATTCCCTATTCGCAATGCGCTACGTTGGAGCCCGTAATTCAAGCAGCCTTTTGGCGTATACGAATGCCACGTTGATATGGCAGTACCAGGCAAACAACGTTACTTTTCAATGCGAAATCATGACACCTCGCTCAAATCAGATCTATTCGCCATTCGCAATGCACCACATATAGCCTGCAGCCTTTTGTTGTATAAAAAGGTCATATTGATATGGCAATAACAGGCACGAATGGTGCTTTACAAAGTAAAATCATCCTTCCTCGCTCAAATCGGATCTCTTCGCCATTCGCAATACATCACATTGTGGCCCGCAATCCAAGCACTCGTTTGACGTATAACAAGGTCACATTGATATGGCAGTAGCAAGCACGAATGTCGCTTTACAATGTTAAATCACCACACCTCGCTCAAATTGGATCTATTCACCTTTCGCAATATACCACATCGTAGCCTGCCATTCAAGCAGTCTTTTGCTATATAACAAGATCATGTTCATATGGCAGTAGTGGGCAATAATGCTACTTTACAATATAAAATCATCATAGCTCCCTCAAATCGGATCTATTCGCAATTCGCAATGCACCACGTTGTAGCCCCCAATCAACGCAGCCTTTTGGCTATATAACAAGGTGGCATTGATATGGCAGTAGCTGGCAATAATGTTACTTTTCATTGTGAAGTCATCATACTTCGCCCAAATCAGGCCAATTCGCCATTGGCAATGCACCACGCTGTAGCCCCCAATTAACGTAGCCTTTTGGCTATCTAACAAGGCCACGTTAATATGAAAGTAGCAGGCAATAACGTTACTTTTCATGTGAAAATCGTCATACTTCGCCCAAATCAGATCTATTCCCCATTCGCAATGTACCACGTTGTAGCCAGCAATCTATGCAGTCTTTTGCTGTATACCAAGGTCACGTTGATATGACAGGAGGAGGCGACAAAGTTACTTTTCAATGAAAAATCATCATACATCGATCAAATTGGATCTATACGCCATTCGCAATGCACCACATTGTAGCCAGCAACCTGAGCAACCTTTTGCTGTATAACAAGATCTCGATGATATGACAGTGGGAGGCAATAACGTTACTTTTCGACTTTTCGTTGTAAACCATCATACGTCGCTCAAATTGTATCTATTCGCCATTAGCAATGCACTACGTTGTAGCCCGCTTTCAACGCAGTCTTTTGCTGTATTCCAAGGTCACGTTGATATGGCAGTAGCAGGCACGATTGTCGCTTTACAATGTTAAACCATCATACCTAGCTCAAATTGGATCTCTTCGCCATTCGCGATGCATCACAATGTAGCTCGCAATTCATGCAGGCTTTTGACGTATAACAAGGGCGACGATTATGTGACAGTGAGAGGCACCAATGTTGTTTTACAATGGAAAAACATCATACTTTGCTCCAATTGCATCTATTCGCCATTTGCGATGCATGACACTGTGGCACCGGATTCAAGCAGTCTTTTGCTGTATACCACGATCACGTTGATATGGCAATAGCAGGCATGAATGTTGCTTTACAATGCAAAATCTACATACCTCGGTTAAATTGGATCTATTCGCCATTGGCGATGCATAGCAATTGTATCCCGCAATTCAGCCAGTGTTTCGGCGTATACCAAGGTCACCTTCATATGGCAGAAGCAGGCAATAACGTTGCTTTACAACGGAAAATCATCATACCTTGCTCAAATTGGTTCTATTCGCCATTCGCAATGCATCATATTGTAGCCTGCAATCCACGCAGCCTTTAGGTTTATAACATTGTCTCGATGATATGGCAATAGCAGGCGCCAATGGTGCTTTACGATGTAAAATCATCATACCTCGCTCAAATAAGATCTATTTGCCGTTCACAATGAATCACATTGTGGTCCACAATTCAAGCAGTCTTTTGGCGTATGGCAAGAGGCAAGGTCACGTTGATATGGAAATAGCGAATGGCGAATAGATGCGATTTGAGCGAGTTAGGATGATTTTCCGTTGTAAAGCAACGTTATTGCCTGCTTCTGCCATATGAAGGTGACCTTGGTATACGCCGAAACACTGGCTGAATTGCGGGATACAATTGCTATGCATCGCCAATGGCGAATAGATCCAATTTAACCGAGGTATGTAGATTTTGCATTGTAAAGCAACATTCATGCCTGCTATTGCCATATCAACGTGATCGTGGTATACAGCAAAAGACTGCTTGAATCCGGTGCCACAGTGTCATGCATCGCAAATGGCGAATAGATGCAATTGGAGCAAAGTATGATGTTTTTCCATTGTAAAACATTGGTGCCTCTCACCATCATGTCATCGTTACCTTGTTATAAAACCAAAGACTGCGTTGGTTGCTGGCGACCATGTGGTACATTGCGAATGGCGGATAGATCCAATTTGCGCAAGGTATGATGGTTTTACATTGTAAGGCAACATTGGTGCCTGCTGCTGCCATATCGACGTGATTTTGGTATTCAGCGAAAGACTGCGTCGATTGCTGGCTACAATCTGATGCATTGCGAATGGCGAATAGATCTGATTTGGGCGACGTATGATGTTTTTACAATGAAAAGTAACGTTATTGCCTGCTACTTCCATATCAACGTGACCTTAGTAGATAGCCAAAAGGCTGCGTTGATTGCTGGCTACAAAGTGGTACATTGAGAATGGCGAATAGATCTGATTTAGGCGACGTACGATGTTTTTACAATGAAGAGTAACATTATTGTCTGCTTTTGCCATATCAACGTGACCTTGGTATACAGCAAAAGATTGCGTTGATTGCTGGCTACGATGATGGTGCATTGCGAATGGCGAATAGATCCGATTTGAGCGAAGTATGATGATTTTGCGTTGAGAAACAATATTGGTGCCTGCTACCGCCATATCAACGTGGCATTTGTATCCGCCAAGAGACTGCTTTGATTGCTGGCTACAACGTGGTGCATTGCGAATGGCGACTAGATCCAATTTGAGCGACGTATGATGTTTTTACAATGAAAAGTAACGTTATTGTCTGCTTCTGCCATGTCAACGTGACCTTGTTATATAGCAGAAAGCTTCGTTGAATCGGGGCTACAACGTGCTTCATTGCGAAAGGTGAATAGATCCAATTTGAGCGAGGTATGATGATTTTTCAATGAAAAGTAAGGCTGGTGTCTGCTACTGTCATATCATCGTGACCTTGGTATACAGCAAACGACTGCGTTGATTGCTGGCTACAATGGGGTGGTGCATCCCGATTCGCGAATAGATCTTATATGAGCGAGGTATGATGATTTCGCTTTGAAAAGTAACGTTGTTGCCTGCTACTGCCATATCATCGTGTCATTGTTATACGCCAAAAGCTGCGTTGATTGTTGGCTATGATGATAGTGCATTGCGAATGACGAATAGATCCAATTTGAGCGAAGTATGATGATTTTTCATTGAAAAGCATCATTGGTGCCTGCTAATGCCATATCAACGTGACTTTGGTATACAGCAAAAGACTGCTTGAATTGCGGGCTACAATGTGATGCATCGCGAATGGCGAATAGATCTGATTTGGGCGAAGTATGATGATTTTACATTGAAAGTAGAGTTATTGCCTGGCACTGCCATATCATCGTTACCTTGCTATACAGCAGAAAGCTACGTTCATCTGTGGCTACAACGTGGTGCATTGGGAATGGTGTATAGATCCATTTGATCGAGGTATAATGATTTTGCAATGGAGAGTAACATGGTTGCCTGATACTGCCATATCGTCGAGACCTTGTTATATAGCCAAAAGGCTGCGTTGATTAGGGGTTACAACGTGGTACACGGGTAATGGTGAATAGATTCGAATTGGGCAAAGCATGATAATTTTGCATTGAAAACTAGCGTTATTGCCTGGCACTGCCATATCATCGACACCGTGTTATATAGCAAAAGATTGCTTGAATTGCGGCGGGCTACAACGTGGGTCATTGCGAATGTCGAATACATCCGATTTGAGCGAAGTACGATGATTTGACAAGGAAAAGGAACATTTATGCCTGCTACTGCCATATCATCGTGACCTTGGTATACAGTAAAAGACTGCATTGATTGTTGTCTACGATGGTGGTGCATTGCGAATGACGAATAGATCCAATTTGGGCGAGGTATGTTGATTTTACATCGAAAAGTAACCCTTGTGCCCGCTACTGCCATATCATTGTGGCATTTCTATACAGCAAAAAGACTGCG